GAGCCAGTTGCTGGACCAGGCTTGTAGCCTGTCCAGGTCTCTTTGTAGTCCTACCTGATCCTCGACCGAATTGATTCTCCTCATTAACTTCACATCATCTGCAAACAAGGACACTTCTGAGTCTATCCCTTCCGTTATGTCATTCACTTATACCAAAAACAGCACAGGTCCTAGAACTAACCCCTGTGGCGCCCACTCTGACACCTCGTCATGCACCATGACTCATTGTTGCCTCCCTGTCAGATATTCTCTGATTCATTGCAGTGCTTTTATTGTTATGTGTGCCTGTTCCTCTAGCCTTTGCATTAACCTCTTGTAAGGAACTGTGTCGAAGGCCTTCTTGCAGTCCAAAAAAATGCAGTCTATCCCCCCTCTCTCTCTTGTCTTACTTCTGTCACCTTGTCATAAAACTGCACTAGGTTTATGACACAGGATTTTCCTTCCCAGAAACCGTGCTGGTTGTTTCTTTCCAGGTGCTCCACCACTCTTCCCCTGATAATCTTCTCCATGACTTTGCATACTATACACGTTAGCGACACAGGTCTGTAGTTTAATGCTTCATGTCTGTCTCCTTTTATAAAAATTGGGACTACATTGCTCATCTTCCATACCTCAGGTAGTTGCCCAGTTTCAGTGGATGTGTTGAAGATCTTTGTTAGTGGCACACACAGTATCTCTGCTTCCTCTCTAAGGACCCACGGAGAGATGTTGTCTCGTCCCACCGCCTTTGAGGTATCAAGTTCACATAGCAGCTTCTTCACCTTCTCCTTGGTTATGTGTACCTCATCCAGTTTCCACTTTAAATACTTCTTTAAATCTCATGTTGAGCTCCTCACATACCTCTTGGCCGTTTCTTGTGAACTCCCCACCATCCTTCCTCAGCCTGATTACCTGGTCCTTGACTGTTGTTTTCCTCCTGATGTGGCTAAACAACAACTTCAGGTCAGACTTGACTTTCGATGCTATGTCATTGTCGTATTGTCGCTGAGCCTCCCTTCTTATCTGTGCATATTCGTTTCTGGCTCTTCAGCTAATCTCTTTATTTTCATGGGTCCTTTGTCTTCTTTACGTTTTCCATTCTCTAGTACACCTAGTTTTTTCCTCCCTACCGTTTGGGTGAACCAAAGACTCATTCTGATCTTACCATTATTTCTGTTTCCCTTGGAAACAAACCTCTCCTCTGCCTCCTTGCATTTTGTTGTCACATAGTCCATCATTTCTTGTACTGGTTTTCCTGCCAGTTCTCTCTCCCACTGAACGTCTTGCAGGAAGTTCCTCATGCCTGTGTAGTCCCCCCTTGTGTAGTTTGGTTTTCCCATCCTATTCCTGCTACTCTCTCCACTTGTAGCTCAACTATGTAATCAAAGTACAGAACCACATGATCACTAGCTCCAAGGTAGGGTGGCCCGAAAAAAAAAAGGAAAACCTTCATCATTCACTCCATCACTATCTTGCCAGAGGCGTGCTTACACTACAGTTATAAAACTGCAACATTAATACCCCTTCTTCAGAGTGCAGGCACTGTACCTCTCATCTCCAGGTAACATTTATGAAGGGATTCAGAGAAACCGGCAGACCGGATTTGAGTCCACTGTAAATACTTCTTTAAATCTCATGTTGAGTTCCTCACATACTTCTCGGTCTTTTCTTGTGAACTCTCCACCTTCCTTCCTCAGCCTGCTTACCTGGTCCTTGACTGTCGTTTTCCTTCTAATGTGGCTATACAACAGCTTCGGGTCAGACTTGACTGTGGATGCTGTGTCATTCTCTTGATGCCGCTGGGCCTCCCTCCTTATCTGTGTATATTCGTTTCTGGCTCTTGTGTGTGTGTCTTTGTTATGGTATACTTTATTCTCTCTCTACTTGGATCTTTTTCTCTAAATATCTCTCTTGTTTGTTTTCATGGCATCTCTTATCTTCTCTCTTGTGTGCTCTCTCAGCTTCTGCCTTCTTCTATTATTCTTTTATTATTACCTGTGAATATAAAAGAAACACTGTCTGTTTATAAATTCAAGTGTCTTCTCAAAAATCACTTAGTCACCCACAACTAAATAAATACTGAATAATTGTATCTCATAAATTTTATCTCGTAAATGTTTCTCATTATTGTATCTCATAAATGTCTTACCTGTGACCCAATCAAACTTTATTTTTTAATTACACTACCTAACAGAATACTCCAATCTACTGAATGCACAGCAACACAGTAAATGACCATATGACCTGTCTTTGTAATACTCACTTGTGCTAAATTGTTATCTGTTTACAATAATGTTTTTACCACTGAATATATCATTGCTTAATTAATCTTAAGTTAATGGTCTGCATACAAGGGGCTTTGGCATATTGCACTGTAATAACTTTGTACTTCACTGTATCATGTTCAAATTAATTAATAAATAAATAAATATATAAATAAATTACTCTCTATCTTTCTTCGTTTCTTTTAGTTTATCCATAACTCGCTAGGCAAGACGTGTGAACAAGTGACCTTGTACCTAATATCTATTGTAATTTTAACTTATAATTATCGTGAGTAAAGTATTTTCTTGCTCCCCCATATAGTAATAAAAGTAATAAAATAGTAATAATAATAAAATAGCAATAGTAATAAAATTAATTATGTATTCTAGCTTATAATCTACATCCGTCTTTCCTGTGAAATCTCCGCGTATTTTTTTTTTAATATCTACTGTATATCTGTCACATCTGGTTGTTTAGAATGAAGCCGGAGTGGAGGGCAGGGAGAGAGCCTTTACTTTACTATCCTGACCTGGTCTAGATAAGTGTAGTAACGGTGGTTCGAACATTAGTGTTACCTGGAGTTTACCTGGAGAGAGTTCCGGGGCCTCCTGCCATGAGGCCTCATGGTGGATCAGCCTGATCAACCAGGCTGTTACTGCTGGCTGCACGCAATCCAACATACGAGCCACAGCCCGGCTGGTCAGGAACCGACTTAAGGTGCTTGTCCAGTGCCAGCTTGAAGACAGCCAGGGGTCTATTGGTAATCCCCCTTATGTATGCTTGAAGGCAGTTGAACAGTCTCGGGCCCCTGACACTTATTGTATGGTCTCTTAACGTGCTAGTGACACCCCTGCTTTTCATTGGGGGATGTTGCATCGTCTGCCAAGTCTTTTGCTTTCGTAGTGAGTGATTTTCGTGTGCAAGTTTGGTACTAGTCCCTCTAGGATTTTCCAGGTGTATATAATCATGTATCTCTCCCGCCTGCGTTCCAGGGAATACAGGTTCAGGAACTTCAAGCACTTCCAGTAATTGAGGTGTTTTATCTACGTTATGCGCGCCGTGTAGTTCTCTTCGTTGCATAATTTCGATAAAAACCACAAGGCCTTTCCCATGTACTGTGTGTGTGTACCACAAGTGACTAGTACGCAAGTACCTTGTTGTACTGCTAGGTGAGCAGGTACCTAGTTTTACTGCTAGGTGGATAAGTACCTTATTGTACTGCTAGGTGAGCAGATACCTAGTTTTACTGCTAGGTGGATAGGCATCTAATTTTAGTGATAGGCAGGGGTGTAAGGAAAGGCTTTTCATACGATTCGCCAGCCTGGGATCGAACCTATGACCTTTTCATTATGAGCCGAGCCACCTCTTCACCCAGCTCCTGGTGTAAACAAATTTGGGTAAGTTAGTTTTTATGCTCTAATTTTGTGAAATGTCACATGGATCAGGGTATGTAATTGTGATAATTAAGGCACGCTAAATACCCCAGACTTTGACATAATAATTGTGATAATTAAGTAAGGCACGCTAAATACCCGAGACTTTGACATAATAATTGTGATAATTAAGTAAGGCACGCTAAATACCCGAGACTTTGACATAATAATTGTGATAATTAAGTAAGGCACGCTAAATACCCGAGACTTTGACATAATAATTGTGATAATTAAGTAAGGCACGCTAAATACCCCAGACTTTGACATTATAGGACAATAAAGATTAGATAATGTAAATAATTAAGGTTAGATAATGTAGGCTTTATTCAGATTTAATTCGTTTTATTATAAATTTTTACATTAGTTCCGGTATGCAGTAAATTATTTAATATCATTATACAGTATACAATAATCAGATTATTTTCATTATTTAATATACAATTCTCTTATATAATGTAGTCCATTAGCATAAGGTGTCCCGTAGCTGATTGGTAGCGCACTCAGCTCACACACTGAGGTCCTTGGTTCGACACCCGGTACGGGCTGTCCATGTTCACCCATCGGTAAAATAGGTACCTGGGTGTTAGTGGACTGGTGTGGGTCGCATCCTGGGACAAAACTGACCTAATTTCTGGGAAATGCTCAGCATAACAAACAACTTTCTATACAGTAGTATGTTATTAATGTCACCTATGGACTGTATACCTTGTACATGTAGAAATAAAAATTATTATTACAGACAATTCATTTACATTTTACAATAAACAATTTATTCGCTTCCTATAATATGCAGTAAAATATTTTCATTAAATCCGATGCATAATATAAAGTTTATCTGCCTTAATATTGTATATCTTGTGTTTGTTTTATTTTAATAATGCCTAAAATATTAGTGGAAAGATGAAATAAGGCGGAAGGCTTGCTGTTTAGTAGAAAATATCATTATATACTGAAATAAGAGAGAAATAAGGCAAGTTTGTCGTTTAGGATTAAATTTAATTGTATATTGAATAAAAAATAAGGCGAAAAGGCTTGCCATTTAGAAGAAAATATTATTTATTGTCATAATAAAGAAATAAGGTGATTAAATTTGTCATTTACAAGAAAATAAGACTGTTTATTGTAATAATAAGGAAATAAGGTTAGTAAAGTTGCATTCAGAAGAAAATAAGACAATTTATTGTAATAATAAAGAGGCTTAGCTCATATGTTTCCATAGAAGGATCTTATTGGTAAAAGTTGTGTAGCGGACCAATGGTGAGCCAGGTAACATGTGCAGTATGGCGAGTGTCGACCAATGACCGCCGCTGTCTGATGGCAGTCCTGTGTGTGTGTACACCCAGTGTGTGTGTGCGTGCGTGTGTGTACACCGATGGTGTATGTGTGTGTGTTAGTGTGTGCGTGTGTTGTGTGTGTACTGGGAGTGATGGTGTGTGATAGTGAGGAGTGGAGGAGCAGCGGGAGACTTATTTGACGGGACTATGTTTCTTCACGTCAGCGGGCGGCGGAGATGGTTGACGGCAACATGGAGATAGTTCACGAGGGTATGCTCAAGAAATCGCCGCCCCCCAAGAGGCTGTGGAGGGCTGTAAGTCTCTTTTATCCCACCCAGACAGTCTCTCCACCCACCCCTCTCAGACCTACTCGGTCTAGACCCGTGTGTGTGTGTGTGTGTGTGTGGTTTATACTTCGACCCCACCCAGTCCCCCCCTCCTCCCCTCCCCCCAGATAATTTACTTGGTCTGGTCTAGGTCTGTACAGGGTTTGTGCTCCACCCATTAATCACCACTATCTACCCGAGACCTACTTGGTCTGGACCTGTAAATATACATATACATACAGTAGCGACAAGAGGCTGGGCCAGGAGCTATGGCTCGACCCCTGCTACCATAATTAGATAAGCACACACATACCCATATCTACCCTCCTCGAGACCTACTCGGTCTTATTCTGACCTGTGGACACTTCACCAACATCTTTTAACCCCCAGACCTATTTGTCTTCTCCAGATCTTTAAAATACCACATCTACCCGAAGACCTACTTGGTCTTGTCCAGACCGATACATACACACCCACATCTACCCCAAGACCTACTTGGTCTTGCCCAGACCGATACATACACCCACATCCCCAAGACCTACTTGGTCTTGTCCACACCGATAAATACACACCCACATCTACCCCAAGACCTACTTGGTCTTGTCCAGACCTAACATACACACCCACATCTACCCAAGACCTACTTGGTCTTGTCCAGACCGATACATACACCCACATCCCCAAGACCTACTTGGTCTTGTCCAGACCGATACATACACACCCACATCTACCCCAAGACCTACTTGGTCTTGTCCAGACCGATACATACACACCCACATCTACCCCAAGACCTACTTGGTCTTGCCCAGACCGATACATACACACCCACATCCCCAAGACCTACTTGGTCTTGTCCAGACCGATACATACACACCCACATCCCCAAGACCTACTTGGTCTTGTCCAGACCTATACATACCCACATCTACCCGAAGACCTACTTGGTCTTGCCCAGACCTATACATACACACCCACATCTACTCCAAGACCTACTTGGTCTTGTCCAGACCTATACATACCCACATCTACCCGAAGACCTACTTGGTCTTGTGCAGACCTATACATACACACCCACATCTACCCCAAGACCTACTTGGTCTTGCCCAGACCTATACATACACACCCACATCTACCCCAAGACCTACTTGGTCTTGCCCAGACCTATACATACACACCCACATCTACCCCAAGACCTACTTGGTCTTGTCCAGACCTATACATACATACCCACATCTACCCCAAGACCTACTTGGTCTTGCCCAGACCTATACATACACACCCACATCTACCCAAGACCTACTTGGTCTTGCCCAGACCTATACATACACACCCACATCTACCCCAAGACCTACTTGGTCTTGCCCAGACCTATACATACACACCCACATCTACCCCAAGACCTACTTGGTCTTGCCCAGACCTATACATACACACCCACATCTACCCCAAGACCTACTTGGTCTTGCCCAGACCTATACACACATATAACCACATCTACTGAGATTTACTCAGTCTTGTCCAGCACTATATACACACCTATCCCGCCCTCCCCAAAACCTGCTTAAGAATGTAAATTACTATATCAAAAGAGCCATACAGGTACAGTAATTATACATACAAAATTATTACATATTATGTTTGACCATATTATAGTACAAATGAGATTAGGTACAATATAAGTCTCCTGAGAAAGCCACTAATTATACAGATTCATTTCAGGCACTGATCATAATTCTTACAAACTACTTAAATATACACCTAGAATAAAATAGGTTACTATTGAATGGATACCCCTCAAGGAAGGTTCCTTGATGTTGGTGAGGGGCTCTTGATTTAGGGAATTGGATCTGTGCTCCAGTTCCCCGAATTAAGCCTGAATGCCTTCCACATCCCCCCCCCCAGGTGCTGTATAATCCTCCGGGTTTAGCACTTTCCCCTTGATTATACGTAATAATAATAATAATATTGAATGGATAATGCATTACAGTCATAAGTGCAATTGGACAGTTTGCAGATGAAGAAGTGATCATTTACAAATAAATTACGTACATTGAAATTAAACCAGCTCGGTGACCTGTATATTATGAAGTGATTGATTGGGATGTTGAAATTAAAGTATGGGAATTGACACAAAGACAATGGCTATACCATTTATCATACATAGGCAGCGTATGTGTAGATTACCTAGGATAACCCAAAAAAAGTCAGTGATTTATTTCCATTGAGTCATATATGTGGTATGTCAAAGAAGTACTTGTTCCTTGTGAGATAAAATTGTTCAGATTTTTAAACCAGAGGGTTAGCCACCCAGGATAACCCAAGACAGTCAGTATGTTATCGAGGACTTTTTTTTTTCCACTGGGGTCTTTTAATCTTGTCCCCCAGAATGTGATCCACACCAGTCAACTAATACTCAGGCACCTACTTAATGCTAGGTGAACAGGGATAGCAGGGTAAGGAAACATGCCCAAAGTTTCCACCCTTGCCAGGAATTGAACCACAGACATTGTGTTAGAGGCAAGATAAGATAAGATAAGATTTCGTTCGGATTTTTAACCCCGGAGGGTTAGCCACCCAGGATAACCCAAGAAAGTCAGTGCGTCATCGAGGACTGTCTAACTTATTTCCATTGTTGTCCTTAATCTTGTCCCCCCAGGATGTGACCCACACCAGTCGACTAACACCCAGGTACCTATTTGCTGCTAGGTGAACAGGACAATAGGTGTAAGGAAACGTGTCGAAATGTTTCCACCCGCCGGGAATCGAACCCGGGCCTTCCGTGTGTGAAGCGGGAGCTTTAGCCACCGGGCCACCGTTGCCAGCTAGGTATCCCATGGCTTGGTTGGTAGCACATTCAGCTCACATACCGAATGTCTGTGCTTTGATTCCTGGGCAGGTGGAAATGTTGGTCATGTTTCCATGTTCTATCTAGGCTAGAATATTGCTGCACACTAACAGCACCTTTCAAGGCAGGTGAAATTGCTGACCTAGAAAATGTACAGAGAACCTTCATGGCGCGCATAACGGAGATAAAACACCTCAATTACTGGGAGCGCTTGAGGTTCCTAAACTTGTATTCCCTGGAACGCAGGCGGGAGAGATACATGATTATATACACCTGGAAAATCCTAGAGGGACTAGTACCGAACTTGCATACGAAAATCACTCACTATGAAAGCAAAAGACTTGGCAGACAATGCAACATCCCCCCAATGAAAAGCAGGGTGTCACTAGCACGTTAAGAGACCATACAATAAGTGTCAGGGGCCCGAGACTGTTCAACTGCCTCCCAGCATACATAAGGGGGATTACCAACAGACCCCTGGCAGTCTTAAAGCTGGCACTGGACAAGCACCTCAAGTCGGTTCCTGACCAGCCGGGCTGTGGCTCGTACGTTGGTTTGCGTGCAGCCAGCAGTAACAGCCTGGTTGATCAGGCTCTGATCTACCAGGAGGCCTGGTCACAGACCGGGCCGTGGGGGCGTCGACCCCCGGAACTCTCTCCAGGTAAACACCTGCTTCCCCTGTTCACCTAGTAGTAAGTAGGTACCTAGGTGTTTGTTGACTGTTGTGGGTCGCATCCTGGGGGATGGTAGTATAGCTCAGATAGGGCTGGCCTTTAAAAATGACCTGAGGTAGGATAACAGCTCTTAGCCTGCAGAATTGATCTGTGTAGAAAAAAAAAAACTCAGCAATGGGGACCCCCCTGTATTGTGTTCATGTGTTGTTTCAGTTCTCCAGATAGAATTTAAGGTCTGAGTCAACATTAGTATTGAGTGTCCTATAGTCAAAGTGTGCACAGTAGAAAGTGTGAATATTGTATAGATTAAGTAAATGTAAACTTTTGAGAAGGATAGTGTGTGTTTTCAAGATCCTGAATGAGTAATAATTCTGAGAGCTGATTTTTGCTGAGTAACATGTTTAAGGCAATTAGCTGATGTTGATCCACATGCACAGATACTTTAAGTGATGTATAGATAGATTAAAGATTAGCAGGGAAGTATGGAGAATGTAGTAGTTATTTTCTGAGAGAATGCCCACTGTTTTGGAAGTTTTATTAGCAGTGTTCTGGATGTGTGTGTGTTTGTTCTGCCTATCAGTTAGTGCATTGTTTATTTTTGTTAACAAGACATCCTTTGGATATGCTGAATGGTGGCACCCCATGGCCTGGTGGCTAAGCTCTTGCTTCACACAGCGAGGGTCTGGGTTTGATTCCCAGCGAGGGTAGAAACATTGGGCGTGTTTCTTTACACCGGTTGTCTATGTTCACCCATCAGTAAAATGGGTACCTAGGAGTTAGTCGAACTGGTGTGGGTCGCATCCTGGGACAAAACTGACCTAATTTGCCCGAAATACTCTGCATGACAAGCGGCTTTCTATATAGTAGGATGTCATTGATATTATTATTATATTATTATTAATGTTGAAGACAGAGTAAAACAACTGAAGTTCAGTCACGTTTATAAAATAGCTCACAAACAGTGTCCGGAATATCTTGCAGCCAAGGTTGTCAAAGCTGGGAACCAAAACAATCATAGTACTAGGGGAAGGGAGCACAACTTTGTAGTACCCATAGTTAGTGGCCAGGCTTCAAACATTTTATTGTACAGCAATAAAGGAGTGGAACAAACTGCCTGCACATGTCAAAGGCTGCCATAGTATGAACCAGTTCAAGAAGAGAGCCAAAAGGTACCTAATGAATGCAGCTACAGAAAGGGAGGAGAATGATTTCTTATATAACTAGCATACATGTAGTACCTATTACTGTGATCTATCCATTTAGATGTAACTGTAAATAGCTCAGTTTACCTTATTCCTACTATATCTCCTTTTACTGTTTAAATAATAAGGTATTACAAGGACCCCAATGGAAATAAGTCACATTTTCTGACTTTCCTGGTTACCCTAGGTAATCTACACACATTCTATGTATAAAAATTTATGTAGCTTTTTTGTGTACCTGTACCTAAACAAACTTACTTAAATATT